CTGAAATTTAAGAAATTTTGGTATATTTTTGTTTTCTTTGATCAAGTGCTATGGTTAAATGTAACAGAAACTTTCAAGGGCTCAACTATTTTGAGTAATCAGTATTTGCCTGCAGTTTGAAAGTGGCAATGCTTCTGACTTGATGATGACCATTTGGATCCAAATGAGCCGTTTAAGGTTACCGTCTACCTTCAGGGGTGTCTAACATCCAAGCGATGTAGCGCGACTGGTTTAAGCTGTAGATACCTAAACCCCTATATCAAATTAAAGCTTAAAGAGCTGGCTATCAAACCATACCAAAAATTTTGAAATAAAACGAACTTCCGATTTTTTCATGGTCACTAAATGCGAGCATCCTAATCACCTTTTGGAAGCTACAAGTCAAAGCGAATTTTGTTTTTCGCCAATGTATTTTTTCCCTCGGTTTCAGGACAAAAAGCGATAGAAAAGCGTGTCTGCGTTTTGCCATATTCAATTGCAGTAAAAAGTTAGAACATTTTCAAAATAGGATCTAAAAAATGTGAAGTGATCGTACAAAAATTGCTCTCAGAGAAAAAATATTTCGAAATACATAATTTGCAGATACCTTTTTGTTTTTGTATATGTTAATCTAGCTACTGTCTAAATTTGAGGGCAATCAAACAAATCCCCTTTGAGTTGTAACTCTTTAAAGTGCCTGCTTCAAGTGAAAAAATTTATTTGAGAAAAAAGCGCTAAGAAAAATCTCTTGCTTCACAAATAAACTCCGCCCACAAACGCCTTCAACTGGGTTCTCAGATCACTGAGCCAATCAGCGNTTCAGGGGTGTCTCGCATCCAAGCGATGTAGCACGACTGGTTTAAGCTGTAGATACCTAAACCCCTATATAGAGCTGGCTATCAAACTATACCAAAAATTTTGAAATAAAACGAACTTCCGATTTTTTGACGGCCACTAAATGCGAGCGTCCTAATCACCTTTTGGAAGCTACAAGTCAAAGCGAATTTTGTTTTTCGCCAATGTATTTTTTTCCTCGGTTTCAGGACAAAAAGCGCTAGAAAAGCTGCGTTTTGCCATATTCAATTGCAGTAAAAAGTTAGAACGTTTTTGAAATAGGATTTAAAAAATGTGAAGTGATCGTACAAAAATTGTTCTCAGAGAAAAAATATTTTGAAATACATAATTTGCAGACACCTTTTTGTTTTTTATATGTTAATCTAGCTACTGTCTAAATTTGAGGGCAATCAAACAAATCCCCTTTGAGTTGTAACTCTTTAAAGTGTCTGCTTCAAGTGAAAAAAATTATTCGAGAAAACAGCGCTAAGAAAAATCTCTTGCTTCACAAATAAACTCCGCCCACAAACGCCTTCAACTGGGTTCTCAGATCACTGAGCCAATCAACGTTTGGAAAATTTACTACCATTAACTTGTAGTGAAATTTACGCGTGAATCTCCAAAAAACCCTTGTGTTTCGCAATGCGCTCAAGGCAGAGAGAGAATTTTTCTGTAGCTCGGTTTTTCTTGAAGCTGGTCTGGCAAAATGGAGAAGACGAAAAGGGATACGAACGCTAGAGTGGCTGGACGATGAGAACAAACTGAACAAAAGAAAGCACGGCGGAGCAAATGTGCATGGATAATATTCCAATTGATCTCAATGAGTTGGACGATTCATCAGTATTGGACTCAACAGAAGAGTCCCCGTAAAGGTCGCTGTTATCGCTGTCAAGTTCCCAAATTTTTACAGAACCCTTCTCCTCTCTTGACTTGATCTTTTTGCCCGCTTGATACAATAGCTATAGCTTCATCTGCGAGGCCAACTTTCGCTTAACTCACTGATGTGTTTTCATTAATTTTGTTCTTCACTTTTTCGAACTGGTAAACAGAGTTTTCCATGGTCCATGTTTACTTATAACTTAATAGAATTACACCTAATACGCAAAATGCTTGGTTTAACAATGCTGATTAACTAAGTAGCCAGCCAATTCGTGGTATCCATAGCGGTAATATTCCCGTGAAAGTAGTCTCGGTTGATTGCGTACACGTTATAGGGCTGTCAATCAAGAGGGAACTTTTACTTCTAGCCATAATGTAAAACCTCCATTTCTCTGCCAATATTAAGTTTTTTTCCATTTTGTTTTCAGAAATTAGAGATTACTCTTCGACCATAACCTTGAACCAAAAATCCAAATTTGAAGAAAATTGGCGATGTGAAGGTATACTGTAACCTTAACTTGAACAGTTAACATTAAAACAAAAGCAAAGAGTTTATATTGCTTTTCTCTGGCAGTCACCGTCCCAGAAATGCCCAGAGAATTCCCTTCTGTGACACACAATAGGCTCAGTCAAAAATTGAGACAAAT